GGAGGCCGAGCATCCTCAAGCTCGTATTCGGGGCTTGAGGGTTGGTCAGATGTAGCAAGTCGTTCGTACCTGGCAGCAGAGGACATGGTGGTCTCGATGTGAAATGAACATGTGACCATAATTGTGTTCACACCCTGATCAGAATCTGACAGTGATCGTCATCATCTTCGACCAGCTGAGAGCTCAGCGCTCAGCGGGCTCACTGTTACCACCCTCAACAACACTTATTCAGAAATCAAAAGCACGCAGAGCACTGCAGCGATGTTTTGCGATGATGGCGCCACTAGCCTACTGCCAAGCTTTGGACAGATGAGTCTGATGTGGGCTTGAGTCTCGACGCAAGGTATTCATTGGATTCATACATTTCGATGGTCCACACCAACCACCTGGAAAATTATCATGCCCCCCTTCTCCTCGCCATTTCCCGCCGTTTGATCAATTCGAGAGGCTCTTGTTGTTTTTAAACGCGGGTAAAACATCGGGCAAGCCCGTGTAGCTCAGTGGTAGAGCATTGTACTTATGAGGTTACCTATCCCCTGTCTGTAGATTGGAATTCCATGCAAGGGTCCCGAGTTCAATCCTCGGCGTGGGCAATTCTTTTTGAACTGTTCTTGAGGAAGAGAGAAAAACAAATCAATTAAAATAAAAGAATGGAGAAGGAAGGGGACGGGACGTACAGCAAGCGTTATTCTTGTTCACTGAAGCTTTAAAGTAGTCAGATGCGAGCACGTCCCATTTGCCAGCCTAATTGCCACCGCTCAATCACTCCCGGCGTTTGAGGAACCTCCTATTGAAGACCCAGTTGCCATCAGAATAGCCATACCCATTCCAAACTGGAGTATTGAGGGCTGGGAGTTGCCAGGATGGGACCAAGATATATCCAAGTTCAGTGAGCACGTTTGATACCATGGAAAGATTCGCCTCGAACACTACAATCTTGATGTGGCTAGGAATGAGTTTGTGGGGAGCGTGAAATGTCGCTGAGACGGATGACCCAATGAAGAAAGCGTTGCAGCTCCAAATGTCTTCAAGAATTGACATAGCAAAGTCTTGGTCACAGCCGAATAGCGGAGCATAGGTCTTTTTGAGCCTGTTACGATATATTTTTTGGACCATACTGCGCATGTCTGAAGAAAAATGCAAAAGTTGAACAAGTTTGTCGAGAGGCAGTTCACAAGCAATGAGATCTACGATCTCCAAGGGAATTTCTGACAGTACTAGATATATAGATGTAAACATGTTCTTATAAGGGCAACCTCAGAGGCCTATGGACTCATACAGGACTGACAGAGGGGGATCCAAAGTATATTAGCTATGGACAGTAATGTACAAAGTAATATACTCACCTGACAGAGGGGGATCCAAAGAGAACAAATCTGGGGATCAAACTCTGCCAGGTGGACGCTCTTATGATGCTAGAGCGGCTGTGCAATCCATGGTAACGGACAGCCACAATAGTGATGTAAGTAACCAACGATCATGATGTGAAAGATGCAAGTAACCAAACGATCATGATGTGAAAGATGCAAGTAACCAGTGATCGTGATGTGAAAGATGCAGATGAAACCGCCAAGGGAAAACTCCGGACTGGTTTGATCTGCTGAAGAAAAAATAATAAATATGAGCATGAAAGGAAAAACTTACAGATTAGCCACAAGTCTGTCAAAGATATATCTACTCATTTTGCTTGTCAGTGTCACGACCTACCCACATTTCCCTAATTTCCTTCAACACTTTGCACATCATTTCATCACCAACGGATCATCGGCAAACCCTCACATCAAAACCACTAATCCTAAAACCCCAGTCCTCGAAACCCTCGAAACCCTTGCTGTCAGGACTCGCGTACGGACATGCAGGCCTGAAGCTTGTTTGTTGGACACCTAGGCGGTCATGTGATGACCTCGATATACTCGGACTGGCTTCGAGGTAGCTTCGAAGCGGTCAAAGG